TACTTTCTAATATTATCAATAACTTTCTAATATTATCAATAACATTGGGAGACTTATCTCCCAATGTAAAGCTTCTGGAGGTTATTATTATATGTGTCAATTCCCCATTCAAAATAAGAAAAAGTATTTGATTGGTAACAGTAAATTTTTTTTTCAATATTTTTTAAATTGTCAATGGACCTTTATTTAATTTATTTATATGCAGTGCTGAGAATTGAATCCAGTGCCTTACAGATGCTAGGCAAGCACTCTACAACTGAGCCAAAACCCCAGCTCCTAATAGTTTAATATTGTCATTAAAATTTACTCTAAGTTTTAAAAACTCAGTTTATGGGACATTTCTGAGTAAAAGATGTCAAAGATGATATGTAATGACTAATGAACTTATACCAAGGGGAAGGTAGATTAAAACAATGCACAAGAAATCACAAAAAAAAWTTGATGTCAAATTTTAGTAGCATCAAAAAGTAACCATAAAAAAACCTAGGATGATTTCAATAAGAAGACTGCTTTTGAAAAAAATCTAACACTGTTCTTAAAACCTCAGTCAACAAACTAGAAATAGAAGGTAACTTCCTCAGTCTGAAAAAAAAAAAAAAAGAGTATCCATAAACACCTTACTCAATGGTGAGGGACTAGATTCTTTCTTCTAAGATCAGGCACACACTAAGATTGCTGGCACCTGAGGCTTCTGTTCAACATTGTATTAGAGGTTCTCGCAAGGGAAACCAGGAGGGAGGGAGGAAATAAATAAATAAACAAACAAACAAATAAATAAATAAAAAATGGCATCCAGAATGGAATGAAAGAAGTAAAAAGATTGCTATTCATAGATGACATGATTCTGTATATAGAAAATCCCAAGGAATTCACTAAATAATGAATAGAACTAATAAGCAGTTCAGCAAGGTTTCAGGATWAAAAAAAMCTGTATTTCTATGCATCTGCAAAGAACAATAAGTAAATAAAATTAAAAACAATTCCATTTACAAGAGGATCAAAAAATATTTTAAAATAAATTCAATAAAAGTTATACAAAACCTATACTCTGAAAACTATAAAACACTGAAAGATATTAACACTCTCTAAATAAAAAGAAAAACAGTCTATGTTCAGGGATTGGAAGACTAAATATTAAAATGATAAAACTTCAYAAATTGATCTACAGATTCAATAAAATTCCTATCAGAATCCCAGTTATCTTTGTAGAATCTGAAAAGCTGATCCTAAAATTCATATACAACTGCAAGGGATCCAGAAAAAAAAGTCAACCCTTATAAAGAAGAATCAATTAGAACTTAACACTTTTTTTTTTTTTTTAGTTGTAGTTGGACATAACACCTTTATTTCACTTGTTTATTTTTGTATGTGGTGCTGAGGATCGAACCCAGGGTCTCGCACGTSCAAGATGAGCGATCTACCGTAAGCCACAACCCCAGCTCCAGAACTTAACACTTCTTAATTGCAAAACTTACTGCAAAGCCACAGCAAACAATATAGGGTAATTCTTGGCATAAGACATACAGATCAATGGAACAGAACTGAAAGTCCAGAAATAAAGTCATGTACTTAAGGTCAACTGATTTTCTACAAGGGTGGAAAGACAATTCAATGGGGAATGAACAATCAATAAGCAGTGTTGGAACAATCCACATGATGTTGCATCTCTGCCTCACACCATATATGACAATTAATTCTAAAAAATAGATCACAGACTTACATTGAAAAATCTAAAACCATAAACCTCTCAGAAGAAACTATGAAAGTTAATCTTCGTGGCACTAGGTTATTTAAAAACTTTTWAAAAATATACAAAATATTTAAAAAAGGAAAATTAAACTGGGCTTTATGCTTTTATGCTTCAAACTTTTATGCTTCAATGGATACCATCAAGAAATTGAAAGGTGAAATGCAAATCAAAACTTCTTTTAAGATTTCATCTCACTCTAGTCAGAATGGCAGTTATCAAGAATAMAAATAACAATAAATGAGGATGTGGGGGGAAAGGCACACTCATACATTGCTGGTGGGACTGCAAATTTGTAGAACCTCTCTGGAAAGCCGTATGGAGATTCCTTAGAAAACTTGCAATGGAACCACCATCTGATCCAGCTATTCCACTCCTTGGTCTAACCCAAAGGACTTAAAATCAGCATACTATAGTAAAGCACCCACATCAATGTTTACAGCAGCTCAATTCACAATAGCTAAACTGTGGAACCAACCTAGATGCCCTTCAACAGATGAATGGGTAAAGAAACTGTGGTATATATACACAATAAACTATTACTCAGCATTAAAAGAGAATAAAATTATGGCATTTGCAGGTAAATGAATGGAGTTGGAGGATATCATGCTTAAGCAAAGTAACCCAATCCCCCCAAAACCAAAGGCTGAATGTTCTGATAAGTGGATAGTGATCCATAATGGGCGGGGGGAGATAGAAGAACTTTGAGCAAAGGGGAGGGAGAGAAGGGTGTATGGGGGTAGGAAAGATGGTGGAATGAGATGGACACTATTACCCTAGGTACATGTATGGCTGCACATATGGTGCGACCTACATCGTATACAACCAGAGAAATGAAAAGTTGTGCTGCAATTGTTTACAATGAATCAAAATGCATTCTGCTGYCGTATATACCTAATTAAAACAAATAAATAACTTTAAAAAATAAAGTGAAAGATGATCCCAAAAATGGAAGAAAATACTTATAAATCACTATTAACTGATAACTGACTTGTACCTGGACCAGACAAAAAACAAAACTCAATAATGAAAAGACAAATAATCCAATTTAAAAACAGGCAAGGGATCTGAACAGACATTTCTCCAAAAAAGATATACTAAGCCAATATGCACTTATAAAGATGCTCAACATAATTAGCCAACAAGAAAATGCAAATCAAAACCACAATGAGATACTGCTTTACACTTACAAAGATGACAAAAGTTTTTAAAAAGATCCAAATAATAGCATGGGCTGGCAGCTGAGAGCAGTGGCACATGCCTTTGATCCCAGCCATTTGGAAGTCTAAGGTAGGAAAGACTGTAAATTTAAGGCCAGCCTGGTCAACTTAGTGAGACCCTGTCTCAAAAGAAAAGGGATAGGGATATAGCTCAGTGGTAGAACAACTGTCAGCACCACTGGAGAAAAACAAGAGAGAGGGCGGGGGAGGGAGGGAGGGAGGATATGGAACAACTAAAATTCTTGTATGTTGGTGGTAGAACTGTAAAATGGTGTAAAAGTGTAACTGAAGGTTAAATATAATTCAACAATTCCACTTCTAGTAGGACATGTACCCAAGAGGGACAAAAACATATGTCCATACAAAAACTCTCATACATGAATACTGCAGCATTAAAAAATGAAGACAACTGCAAATGAACAATGAACGGATAAATAACTATGGTACTTTCATTCATCCATTTAAAAGAAGAGATGAAGTACTATTATATGCTACAACATAAATGAACCCTGAAAACATTATGCTAAGTGGTCTTTTGAGCCAGACACAGAAAACCATATTTTGTATATTCCACCTTTAAAAAAATTCAAAAGAGGGAAAGCTATAAAGACCAAAAGTAAATTAGTGGTTGCTTGGGCTGTGAGGGAAGAAAGGAATGGGGAAAAAGTGTCTCTAATGGATACAGGATTTCTTCTTGGAGTAATAAAGATGTTCTAAAATTAACTGTAATAATAGTTGTACAATTATGTAAACACTGAATTATACACTTTAAGAGTGAATTGCATGGTATGTGAATTATATTTCCCCAAATTGTTATTTTTTAAGTGACTAGTGCCATATTTTAAAAAAAGAAACTCACACTCATCACAATTATTAACAAATGTTTACTGAGCAATATGCACAGTCTTTTAATAAAAATACCAAAGCAAAATAAAATTGCCTTGAAAACAAAYGAGAATCCTGGGTCAAGTAGAAGTGCAGAGAACACTATTTTGAAGTATTTTCTTTACTAAGCAATAAAGTTAATCTGCCTATAAATTCCTATGAGAGAAATTGGAACAATGACTACCTAATCTTCAATAAAGAAATAAGCTTTGAAAGGAGTTACTTCCCTTCACCTTTACTTAAATACTTTACAAAGACTGACAAATTTATAATTTGTGAGAAGAAATGAGAAAATACAAATTAAGGAAAGAATGAACTTTTCCCCTGTAATTTCCCTTACATATAGGCCTGAAGATACTTTAAGCAGTTCAATTAAATTCTGAGGCTTAGAAATCTTCTCCTTTCACCAGAAAGGACAGAAGAAATGTAATATAACTAGGAAAAATAAACTCAATTACTTYTTTGGTTTAAAATCTTTGAGTCTATTTTTATTTTCTTTTTAAAAATTTACATTGGATCAAACATTTCCAGACAAGATAGATACTCTACAGAATTTTGCCCAGATTAAATCATCCCAACACATACAAAAATCCCAATTTTCTTGCTGCTTTTTTTAATCCCCTGAAACACTGCTTTGTTTATTTTAAATATATTCCACATATTTATATAGCACTATAAATTATATAAGTAATAAAAAATGCTGCTTCAAACAGTGTTGATGTTCACAGGCACTGATAAAAWATATATGCCCTTCAACTGTTATCTTCCAATTGATCACACCAAGCCTGTGATGCCCATGTTAGATCTTTAAACTTATTTTTAAAATCACTTTTTTCATTAATAAGCTGCATTCCTCCTATAGTATATAGTATATTTCTCCTATAGTAACCATAAAAGCAAGTAATGACAAAGCTTAGTGGAACACACATTCTTTAAAATTGTCTAAACATTAGAATATACATAAACAACTTTGTAAAATGAGCAACAGAAAKTAGGCAGTGTTTAAAATTAAAATCATGTAAAATTAAGAATACGTATTATATAAATAAATGCGAAGAACAGCCAAACAAGCCATGTACTYGACTAGAATCGAACATCTGTACCTGTGAGCAGCTGGTCATACCAAACTAATGAAAATATGTACTCACCTGGTTTTGGCACTGAATTGGTCACCGACGGGGGAACTTTCTGGTTAATTAACTCAACACAATGTCCAGGGAAGAGTCCCACCTAAAGAAAAGCAACAAATACAGATTCCAAACTAGCAAACAAACCAGTATGTGAACACTGCCAACTCAGTTCCAGTAATGTACTCCACAGTCCCTCCCAAATGATTCTATTATTCCAAGATTCTGGATAGCAGATGATGCCAATTACACAAACAAATAATAAAACAATCTGTTGCTATGAGTATACAGACTTATGCAGGGTTCTCTATCCAAATATCTAAGTCTGCTTTTTTAGTGTTAGCTTTTAATTCCCCAAACTTCTTCTATTACAATTAAAATGCTACACAGGCAACAGATAAATTTTTTACTGTGTAATAATTCACTTTGCTGAAATCTCAAATCTGGTTGTGCTGACACTTCTGTTGCCAACTCATTGGGTTTATTATTTTCTTTATAAGTTTTTAAAAATTTAACACTAAACTAATTATTTGTGAATTTTCTCTTCACTTTCATACATGTTTCATGAAATAAAAGAACATAATTTTTTAAAAAATGGATTTCTGAAACACTCATTTAAAATCCTGGTATTCACTGCTGGTAAAGAGCCAGAAGTACATGGATAAGACAGAAAGTGAGAGAGAAGAATTTCAGCAGCCAGATACTTTCGCTTCCAAGAACWCACCACATTGACCTTATGACAGAATTGCCTATTGGCTTTTGGTAGGATCCTAATAAGCTATACTAACAAAATTCTGAGTTTCAGATCATCCAGAGATACTGTGAGGCTAATAGAATAAATACAGAGATAAACAGTCTGGAAAAAAAAAAGTAAAAAGGAAATCTTTACCAATATTTATAGATGTTTCCTTAGATAGGGATATAAATGGGCTGCCATGCAGCAGATGTTAAAGCTGAAAAATGAAAACTACATCACGTTGTATCTCCCCTCTGTTGACAGACTCTGGGAAGAATAGAACAGTCTTCCAAGAGCGTGACTCATCACAAAGTTCTGAGCTGTATAATTTCCATCTGTGTGGGATTATTTTCACACACTCATTTGCAGCATTCTTATTTCAATTTCTAGATCAATATTCTATGGTACTTCTTAAAATTATGAGGACATAACCAGTTATCATGAGCTGAAAAGGGGTTATTAAATGATTATCAGTTTTGCTTGCAAGATTTGTATTTGGGATTCTTAAAGCTCCTATATGCACTGCCTTCCAAAATTATGCTTTCAGTATTTGTTTTATTGATAAAATTCTGTAACACATTCTATTCAACTTTCTATTTCAATAAACGGGGAATGCTTCCAAGATTGGTTGGAACTAGGTAAGAAAATGAAAAATCCTTCTCATTTTCTCTTGTATGAGTTCTGTGAGAGGGTCTGAGGTGCACTGGTTAACAGCATTATCTCAGGGTAAAGGATGTGGGTTCAGTCCTAAATCTACCACTTAATAGGCTGGATGTGTAGTTTAGACACTCCGTGACTGTTTTTCTGTTTATACATTATAATGATAATACTTATCTCATATGGGTTTTATGATAATTAAGTGATTAGCATAGGTAAAATGCATTTTATGAGTGCATGTAGTAAGMGCTCATCAAATGTTATCTGTTATTATGCCAGTATATTACTGAAGACCTAGAGTTCTAGCTGCTCCATCAAATGGGTATGAAACATAATACACAGGTAAGTGACACATAACACATGTGTGTGTCCTTAAGTTTCCTCACTCTCAAAATGTCATTCTTTCCATAAAATTCTAATTCATTTTAATTTATGCAAAACTGAAATTTTCCATAGACAAAAGGTTAGGTGCAAACTTGCCTTACACATGTTTTTTATATTCTATGATCTGGAGGAAACTGCTTCATTTCCTAATTTGTCACATAAGGAGTAACTCTTACCTACACCTCAAAAGTTTATGTGAAAGCAYAGAGACCAGTTTCTAAATTCAAATACCTTTCAGTAAATAAAAACTAGTTTTCCATCAGGCCCTCACAAAGACTGAAAAAAGTTTAATGAATTTCTTCTAAGAATTATATCATACACATTAGTTATATTCTCATCTTTTAAATTGTCTCAATATATTACGTTTAGATATGTAGGAAAGATATTATTGTATACTTCATGGAATTTTACTGCAGGCACATCCAATACCTAACCCCAATCCCTGCTCTCTTGTCTCCCTTTCTTATAAAATGTAATATTATTAAATATTAGTTAAAACAAATATCCAGTTTCCCAAACTCTTTGCATTCAGATGAATTCGAGACACACATAGGCGCAACTCTAGACTCCTATCTTGTCTCTTTTTGCTGTAAATGCAGGTGGCATGACTGGGTCTGCAGCAGTCATCATTTGATCAAGGCCAAGATGATCTCTAGGATTTTTGCTTATCATCATTAAACTACTGACATCAGTAGCACTAGCTACCTTTTCTCTTCACTTTTCTATGTCTTGAAACCAAGAGCATTGCTAACAGTCAAGGGGTCATTTACTTAAAACACTACATAAAAATAAATAAATAAACAAAGATACATAAAAAAAAGAACACAAAATATTTTTTAAAAAACTTGTGAAAGGCAAACAGATTCCCTTTTATAAAATTTTCATCATGAAAAATAAAACTGTGTTCTGTTGAAGATATCATATAGAAAAATGGCTAACCCTAAAAATGCAGTTAATGAATACTTAGACTTTTATGCTGAATATTTAACCTAATATTTTGCCAAATATACAAAATCCCGATAAACTCCAAGTGTCCAATGGTAAAAGTGACTGAAACTCTGGCAATATTATCTATTAACTATGTCATCCTGTTTCATATCTTATTCTTCCTGCAGCAGTGCTAGAAAGGGAGAGAAGAATTTGGTACATAATCAGGGGTCAAAATGAGATTCAACTCTAGGAAGAGTAAGCAAGAGAGAGAAAAAGCCATCACCTGGGGCCCATGATGGTAGAGAAGTACATAACAAAARCTTAATAACAAACGGAAAAGAAGAATGTAGTGATAAGGCTACGTTCTTATAAGAGAGGGGCTTACCAGAAAGAACTAGGGCCTTCATTTGAGTTTTTTCTTCAGGTCTTTGAGATAAAATGAGAAGAAGCCAGAGAGACTATTATATCCCTGTAGAGTTTAACAGCTGGCTCTCCCTGGGGGAAAAGGTCTTGATTTACAGGTTTGGCCAGTGTTCATGGTGCAAATACTCCTACCTGAGCTGGTTTTAAACTACCAACGGGACACAACCGATCACAGAATTGAGAAAAGATGCAGAACAGCACTCTATTATATAGTATTGTACCATATAAATCCATTAGATGGAATGAACCTCAAGAGTACATATAACAGTAAAATATTACAAAATAATTACCCAAAAGATTTGATTCTAATATAATTCATTGATTAAAAATATTCATATTTTTATTCTTAATAATTATTGGGTTTAACAGCTATCCTACAAAATTCACAAAGATTTTACAATGGGCTCATGCTCATCATTAATTTATAGCTATCCATTTGGTCCTGTGCCTGTGCAACACTGAGAGATCCTATAATTGCTTTCCATCAGTCAAGCAAGTCTACAGCTCACCCTCTGGCTCTAGGAGAATAATGAGTGATGTAAGGGGAACCTCCTGAGTACCTTGAAGATACTCAAAGGGGGAAAAAATCAAGTTTGGCTTCAACAATATGTGTACTGAAAAATATTTTGGTGCAACTTAGAGGCAATGTTAGATAGAAAACTATTGGAATAAAATTTAAGCCAAGAGCTTTGATGACTGTAGGAAGGGAAAGGAATCCTTGCTCAACAATAGTGCCTAATTCTAACAATAGTCCCTCTGATTCAACCAATCAAAACCTAAAAATAAATTTCAAGATAAAAAACAATGAGCTTATCACTGGTTTTTAGAAAAATTTCTACTCTAATTTTTTTTTTATTTCACTATGACTAGTAAAATTTTAAGGCCATTAACAGAGCAAAATATTTTTATAAAGCTTAGTCAAGTACTTGTATTATTCCCAGAGTCATACCATCAATTGAAACTATTTGGCCTCAGGGAGTTAAAACTCCCAGGTTTCTAGTGTTTACATTCCATGACAACTGAAGTTAAAATTTAGATGCCCCATTCCCTTCCTTCCTGTATTTATTTCCTCCCAGGGTACTATGTCCCTTTGGATCTTATTTGTTGATATTCTTATTGTTATTGTTATTATCCAGTAAGAACACTGGGGTTGATCATTTGAGCTTCTAAATCAATTCCCTTAGTTTCCTTGCAATATTAATCTTCTGCCAAAGCAATCCCAGCCAACTCCCCAAATTACACCAGTATACATCCATAACTTGAATGTCATGTGTTTCTGGAGAAAAATCACATTGCTGAGGAGATTCAAACTAATGCAAATTCAATCTATTATGTAGAAATGCCAACTACTTTTTCCCACTTCCCATACATTCTTAGAGAATTGATTTTTTGATGTTGCAGTTAAGAAATTTTTGCCTCATCCCAAACCACAATTGTTTTCTTTTTTGTGCTTTACATAGGGGCATATGATCAATTTTTAGGTTATTTTTGCAGACTCTGCAAGAAATAAAGTTTACTTTGAAGACAAAAACAGACCATCTTTCTTCACTGAATTGATTTTATACTTCTGTTGAAAATCAGTTGTCTATATATGTATGGGTTTATGTCTAGACTCCATTCTGTTTCATTAATCTACTTATCTCTATTTCTACTGATCCTGCACTTTACTTAGGCTGTAGTTTTACAGTAAATCTTCAATACTGCTAGCTCTCCAACTTTTGTTCTTCAAATTTGTTTTGGCTCCTTTATTCTAYCTAGGTCCTTTGCATTTCCATATGAATTATTTAATCTGCTTGTCAATTTCTACACAAGAGTTTGCTAGGATTCTGACTGGTATCAGTGTGGGAAGAAATGACATCTTAACAATATAGACTTCCAACCCATAAACATAATATACCTCTCCATTTGTTTGGGCCTTCTTTAATTTCTCCCAGAAAGGTTCTGGAAATATTTTTAAAATTCAGATATTTTTT